CTTTCTTTAAAGTGAAATCTTTACTTCTTATTTTTATAATCTTATTCCATCTCCAGGGTTATTTATTGTAGGAAGCGCAGACTAAGTTTGTTTGTTGTTTTTACGTAATGGATGAAGTAAAAACAAAACACTTGGATTTGAGAAGTAAATATTTGTTTGTTTTGATTACATGTTTGAATTCCCATGTTTCAGCTGATCGAATAACACAAATACACATTTCAAGTTCAAATTACTTGCAGAATGATATAACAGATTGTTTTACAAAAAACTACTGAACAATGAGTGATTAAAGTATACTTCCCTGAGGTAGTGGGTAAAAGGAGCTACCTCATTTATGAAAATTGGTGAAGAATTAAGGGAGTTATGGTGTACTGACAAAAAGGTACTTTAAAAATTATATATAAATCATTCAAGCTATACAACTCAAAAGAAACACACAAAAAAACACTTTGTTTGCATATTTTTCGTTTACATTTATAATTTAAAATTCAGAAAGCCCATTTGTTTCATTTGCATTTTTGCTAAAATCGAACTAGCGGTTAAAAAAAAGTGAATATTGCAACTGGGTGTACAGGCTGTGAAAATAAACTGTATCAGCAATCTGACACATACTTTCTCCCATTAGCTTGTCAACAACCTTTTATCATGAGTATCATGGGATGAGAGTAACTAACTATGATATTTAATTGGTAAAATCACATAAGTTGCACTAACTTTTGAACATTCATATTTAAAAGGGATAAAAGAATTTAGTCAGCTGTTTCAACTAAAAATGTTGGTTCTATGATATACAAAAGCATTAAAAAGTTATACGATTTACCAACAGGGTGCAGCACTAAAATCTTTTTTGTATTTACGTAAATAGCTAATTTGATCTAAGCAGCAACAAAAAACTGTGATACGCAATGAGAACTGTCAAATTAGGATTGTTTACAGTTATGTTTATGTTTTTAATGTCATGAATAATTCTTGATTTTTTGTGAATTCGTAATAATGTATTTTTCTTTATCGTTTAGGTGAAGTGGTAGAACATTATGGCTATGGCAGATGTGTAATACCATAAGTATACCGTCAATTTAAAGAAGCAAATTTTATCAAACTTTGTCCTCTCCCATTTCAAACGCAAAGCTTGAGTATAACTGCAATAAGCATTTAAACTTATATGCTAACCCCGTACGAAGGACGGGTACTCTGCTAGTAAATAAATAAATATAAAGTTATCTAGAGAAAATGGAACCTAAATAAATTGTCACATGTTGAAAGTATAATTCCACAAAGAAAACAATTTTCAAAATGGAAAAAGAGAGAAATATTAAATAAATTTAAAAAAAGATGTTTATTACAATACAATCCAAGCTTTACTCTGTAAAGTGAAAACAAGAGTAATATTCTGATACAAAGTGTTATATACCAATTAAAGGTAGAGATTCCACAACAAAGGCTAACAACGAAGCAAGACAAACTCTCTCAGCATGACCGAGTGGTCAAAGCTGGACTCATCATTAACACTTGTATATTCAGCTACAAAGACCTCTCACACTGTCAGCAGCAGCCAGATCTACAGATAACACCTGGTCACAGCCAATTCACTTTTTCCAATTATTTAACTGTAAATAAAGTAATGGTAATTTATTGGAAATATAATTGTATCTCCACATAATTTATTTAAGTACTTTATGTAAAACAACTAACACTACTGAATATTTTAGAAATATAAACAAAACTGTAGTTTCTATATCAGAAATTGATTGACTTGATAGTCTCAAATAAATTGGCTAGTTCTTTTATGATTCACAAAGATATTAAGTCAAACTATTGAGCTTGTCACATCCTGTTATTCACTGGTAGTTTTGCCTCTAATCCTACTATCCTACTAATATTATAAATGAGAAAGTTTGGATGTATGGATATATGGATGTATGGATGTATGTTTGTGACAAGTGAACGCGAAAAATACTGGTCGGATTGGGCTGAAATTTGGCATGATGATAGCTCACATTCCCGATTAACATATAGGCATATTCTTATTTCAAAAATCCTTTCGGGCTCCGCCCCAGTGGCTCTGGAGTTTCCCATGTTAACCTAATGAGAAATGGAATTATTGAATCTTAACAGCTGTTTCAATTAAACAAGTTGGTCCTGTTCTATGATGTTCAATAGCATTAAAGTTATAAGGATTACCAACAGGGTGCAGCACTATTATTTCTTTTACATTTATGACAACAGCTAATTTGCAACCAAAAGGTGAGTGAGCGTAGCGAACGAACTTCAACCTGGAGGCGAGTTAGCGAAGCGAACGAGCTAAACTGAAGGCAAGTGAGCGCAGCGAACGAGCTAAACTGAAGGCAAGTGAGCGCAGCGAATGAGCTCCAACCTAAAGGTGAGTGAGCGTAGCGAACGAGCTCCAACCTAAAGGTGAGTGAGCGTAGCGAACAAACTTCAACAAGGACGTGATTGAGCCATGCGAACGAGATAATCTTGAAAATTAAGAAGTTAAACGGGGCAAAGCCCGTGGGTTACAGCTAGTAATATTATAAATGAGAAAGTTTGGATGTTTGTGACAAGTGAACGCGAAAAATACTGGTCGGATTGGGCTGAAATTTGGCATGATGATAGCTCACATTCCCGATTAACATATAGGCATATTCTTATTTCAAAAATCCTTTCGGGCTCCGCCCCAGTGGCTCTGGAGTTTCCCATGTTAACCTTATGAGAAATGGAATTATTGAATCTTAACAGCTGTTTCAATTAAACAAGTTGGTTCTGTTCTATGATGTTCAATAGCATTAAAGTTACAATGATTACCAACAGGGTGCAGCACTATTATTTCTTTTACATTTATGACAACAGCTAATTTGCCACCAAAAGGTGAGTGAGCGTAGCGAACGAACTTCAACCTGGAGGCGAGTTAGCGTAGCGAACGAGCTAACCTGAAGGCAAGTGAGCGCAGCGAACGAGCTCCAACCTAAAGGTGAGTGAGCGCAGCGAACGAGCTCCAACCTAAAGGTGAGTGAGCGTAGCGAACAAACTTCAACCAGGACACGATTGAGCCATGCGAACGAGATAATCTTGAAAATTAAGAAATTAAACGGGGAAAAGCCCGCGGGTTACAGCTACAGCTAGTAAGTAATAAATGGGAAAAAAACTAAACACTTAAACAATTTGGAATATATTTAAGTTGTAATATTAACTAGGCACTGGGAAATAGACTGACTATTGAAGATTATGAAGGTATGGACTGCTATTGAAAATTACCATTTTACCAAAGGACAATTTATATACCTACAAGATGGCATTTAGGCACTCAATAGATGCTTATGTTAAAAAAAACACACAGTTGACAAATATTTGTTTCTATCTTAATAGTATGAGGGCTGTTGGGGTGGCAAGCAATGTTTTGGCTGGTCACTACAGTCACATAGAAGATGCAGAGGAAACATCCAATGGTGTCTAGCACTAGTGTTGGTGTCTAGGGCAGTGACCCCTCTCCGCTTCCCTCACCCTCATGTACTAAAACCTACAACTCTCACGGTGGAGGAAGACCCTCTGCCCTGTGCGATAGGAATTTCCACTCAGTGCTCGTCCCAAGTAAATTTCTGCCCCAAACCAGAGCTGAAAGCACAGTTAGTTGTCCCATAAGGTTGTATCCTCTATAACAGCCCCTTATTTACTTCTCTGTGCCACCATTTACATGGCATAGTCACTGCAGTAGTGTTAGGGTGTTCTTACACATCCAGGATTAGTAGCATACGTAGCATTTAAAATTCAACAAGTCATGAAATAAGTTCTTTGATAAGGTTTTCCAAGCAAAAAATGCATCTACTCCAAATTGATTTCTGACCCATGTTTATAATGTAAATTATTCTTGTATTAACCCAAGGAATAATCCATTGAAGCTCTTTGAGAGAGTTCACAAGCACCCTTATTCAGTAGTTTTAATCTACTACTTGATTCCTGTATGTAGGACGGGCCAAAAGCTTGTATTAGTTATAACTTTTTATGTTAATTAATAGGTATCTTATTTTCTAACACATACTGCAAAATAAAAAAGTTTATAACGCCAACTATAATGTATATATTGCTTTTACTTGATTCCTGTATGTAGGACGGGCCAAAAGCTTGTATTAGTTATAACTTTTTATGTTAATTAATAGGTATCTTATTTTCTAACACATACTGCAAAATAAAAAAGTTTATAACGCCAACTATAATGTATATATTGCTTTTACAAAAATGTCAGAAATCTTTATTCCCATTTCTCTGGATTTTGAAATGTTTGCACTGTTTATGTTAAGAATCTTGGGATGTTACAGCTATCGTGAATAATTTATGGATGTAACCGCAATCCCGAGGGGAAGATCATTGTGTCCCAATACCACGATCGCGAGAATCTAAAGTAAAAAATTATCATGTGTCCATGATTCCACTAATCATACCGGCAGCAAAGAAAGTTTTTTGTAATCAGGGATCCGAATCGTCCCATCGCTATTAAGGTTTAACCAAAAAAATCATATCTTATTCCAAGTTTTTTTTCAGTTGAGTGGGTACTCTGCCATAGAGGGATTTCTAATATAATATGTGATTTTTCTACATTAACCCTTTCCGCTCAGTTCGTCATGGCCGCACAAACTCTTATGTCGGGCCGGGCCCGCCCGTCAATATGACAACGTAGGCCTGTTATGCTTGTATTTTGATTTTTGAAATTTGTTATTTTTTTATTTATTTTTATTTTGTGTAAGTAAGTTATTACCAGCCTTCTATAAATCAAGAGGATATTTATTTTTTTGGTAAACAAATGAAATATGAAAATTTGGCTCAAATTAAATGGAGCTGGTGAGAAAATATGCCTCCCGTAATTGGAGTGGAAAGGGTTAGACTGTTTTTTTTTGGGGTGTAAAAATAAAACTTAACAGGTAAAAAGTCAAACGAATGTGAATGTGATATAGAAAACAGAACAGAAATATAAATTACATAATGGTAAATGAATATCGAACTACAAATTAAGGAAAACAAATAATTTATTCTTTATAAAAATCTTACAAATATTTACAAAAGTCAAACTAGCATTTATCCTAAAAATCAAACAAGTCATAACTCTAAAAGGAGAAGTTCAGGACCCTTGATTGAATTGTGACTGCAGCAAGATATTCGCTGCAGTAAACCAGGATAGAAATATTTACTTCTGAATCATTTTCTGTTGCAGATATCTTAGTTCAATGTATCTCATTGCATACTTAGAAGGTGCACTGATAATGCAGATTGCAAGCATCAAGAGGGATAAACAATGGTGTAATTTTCAACTAAGTTATTTATGTTACTTAACAGCAGCAACTGATGTAACAATGGCATGTGAAAATGTTATCAATTTATGTTTTGAATAATAAAAAACCCTGACTGTTGCAGCTATAGTGATACAATACATGTGTTGATTACACATTTAAATCTGGGGTATTTTTTAAAATAAAATGTAATCACAAGTTTTAATGACCATGTGTAATAGGCCTACAATTAATCATAACAAACATATTGATCTACAATGTGTTCTATTGTAGCCTCCTCCAATACAAGGCTGCGGTGAGGGAAATGTAGCAACACTGCAGTCCTGACCTACAGAGCGCAATGTTAATGTTTACATGTTTATTATTATTGAGACCATTTAAAATTCAAAACTAAAACAAAACGGGATTAACAGATGGAGGTTTTATACATGGGTTTAAAGTTTGTACATATGGGCGTGACATGACAAAGCCACAGCGTAACATTATTGAAACTGACACGGAGTGTCTGTGGTGAGTGGAGGGGATTGCGGCCTTATGTTAGCGGAGGCTATGGTTCTATCCAACTGATTCCTTTCACTGGCAATTAGATGATTTCATCAGTCCCTAATAAGAGTTTAAAACATTTGAAGGTGAAGTTTTAAATGGGAAACTAGTTCTATGTACTACACTTAAACACAAAAGCATACATTATTTGTAAGATGCATTATTGTGAACTTTGAAAGAAATTAAGAGGATTATAGTGTTTTCAAATTTTTTACATGAAACTGAAAGTGGATGTTATCATACAGAACTTGTTTGGACAAAGTTAAAATAAAACTGAGTTAATGTTAAATTAACCTAAAATCATTCATAGACATGAACTTGAAATCAAGTGGTTGTCAGGAAAAGCAATGTTTCTTAATCAAATGGATAGGATACAATATACATTTAAATTTACATAATTTATGGTAAAATAATACATTATTTAATCTTCATAACGTATTTCACATAGACATAACCATTAGAAATCAGAAGTATGTTTGTTGACATAAGCATTTGAATTATGGTTTTGCCCCATACTAGTAAATATTATTTCACAAGGTGAATTCAATTTAAGTCCAGAGACAAAACCGTTAGAAAGAGTACCTTGATATTATATGTAACAGTATTATATGTAATTCCTGGATACTGTGATTAAAAATATGGCCACAATGAGCACTATGAGCTCAGTGTCCACTGTCCGTGACACTGGTTATTTCAAAATAGTAGGCTACAAGAGAATAAGTTAAAAATCTTTAAAATCATAACAAATTGTGTACTAAAACACACAATGAAATTATTTCAACCTGTTATCTCTATAAGATTATAGACATGACAGGTTGAAGTATGTATTGTAAACAGTAAAGTCAACTATTTTTTTTAAATAATAGAGCCATTTTAATTTAAAACCTAACTATTTACAGAAATTAAGTATTGTATAAACTATGATTGAACCCTTGTTAGAGCTTCGAAGAGACTTTTGTTGTTGGCAGTCTTTGGTTTTTGTATGCAAGGTTTCTTGGCAATGGGCAGAGGTAAATGAGGTTTCTTCCTTTTATTTTGTACCTATAACAAATCAAATATGAGCTCATAAATTATAAGTGTTAGCATACTAGTACTAACTACAGTATAGTTAAATAAATACCCCAGCCGCAGCCAACCTGCAGACTAAGTGAATTTCCATTTGCCTTATTTGATTTTCAATGAAATATATTCCAATAACATTAGGTTAAACGAGTACCTAGATTTGCTGCTACAGGGATGGTAATAAAGTTTGTTTTTTAGTAAAACATTAATAGCTTAGTACAAAATAAATAGATTTGCCAAGTTTGATAAAAATATATCCAAAAACAAGCAAACTACAACAGTTTACCTTGTATCTATATTCTATCTATCTATCTATCTATACTATTATAAAGAAGAGGTGGTATTTGTCTGTCTGTCTGTCTGTGTGTGTGTTTGTATGAGATAAACTAAAAAACTACTGAACCAACTGGGCTCAAATTGGACATAAATAAAGCTACAGCTCTGGGGATACATATATAACTATTCCCGCTTCAATATTTACTTCAGGACTCTGCCCCGCGGGCTTTCAAAGTTCTGAGGTGAGAGTTTGAAAAGTAAATATTGATTGGTCTCCATGGTAACAAAGAATAAACCCACAAAGTTGAAATGTAAACAAGCAGAACTGTCAAATGAATTTTGATTTCACATTTTTAATTTCCACACAGCTTCAGGTTCAAACATATTAAATATTGCACAAATATTAGAACAGAAAGGGTATGGATCATAAACATAACAAATGATGATCACCAAGAATATATGGAATAAACTTCGCCTAGTAATGAAATATACTATTATTAACATTCATTTGTTGTTATTGTAAGGTTAATAGGTATCCATGCGATTGCTTACAATCTAAGTTTACAACTGTGTTACAACAGCTGAATAAAAATACTTTTTATTCCCTAGGGAAAAAAGAGCTAATAAGATCTACAATTCATGTATTAAAAAATGGGGTTTTTGCTGCAATACGACAACAAATAATTTAAGGTTTTTAGTTAGCTAACTAGCCTACAGCAATGAGGCTACGATCTAAATTCTAAACTATTGGCAAAAGATCAACAGTACGTGGTACGAGCAGAACCACTGTAAGTTGAGGCGAGTCCTACTATTTTAAATAGCGCTCACTGAATTTGCAATGTTCCATTAAACTAGAACTTGACTACAATCCAGTTAGAAGAATCACTAAAATTTACATATTTTACATGGAATAAACATTCAACAACCTGTTAAAGAATGAATTTGTATTCAGTCTCATATAAATAAACTGGTACAAATTGGACCATGAAGCTTGATAGTTTACATACCAGTTCTGGTTTCTTCTCCTCCTGATCACCTTTTGTTGGACTAATTGATGCAAAAACAAAGTTCCTTGAGTTCTTGGGTTGATGGATGGGACCGTCTGAAGAGGATGAGACAATCTGAGCTATACGAGACAAGGTTTGCGCTCCTCTATTGAGGAACGAACCTCTCTTCTGCAACAATCATCAGAGGTTACATCAGGAATACTGTACAAGTCAAGTATACACTGAGATTAGTTAGTAATAGTGGGAAAACATCAGAATTAATATACTCACAGTATCAGCTATAGTGGAGATATAATTTACCAAAACAATCTTAAAAGATGCAATAATTACTCTCAGCCTTGACAGAAATAGTTTTCATTAAATTAAAACTATTAAAAGAGAAAAGTAGGACATAATAAATAGGTCATATCTTTCACAATATACTTGTTTTTGTTTAACATAAATATAATACATGTATGGAAGTTATTTATTTTAAATTAACATGTTCATAAACATGGTCTTTATTGATAATTAAATATTTGCTTGTGCCAGTAATTTGGTTTATCTTATTAACTATGGTTTGATTTTTAAAAGTGGTTGGCAGTTCTAGGTATTGTACATTCAAAAATTAAATTTCCTTCCGTCTGTATTTAGACATGCATTGGCTTTAGGTTTCTTTTTGCAAGAAATAAAACTTGTGTTCTCAAATTTTGATCTCAATTTATTGAAGTGATTTTCTTCATATCATTTATTTCGAGCAGTAGCCAGCTACTGTTATTAACTCAACAATTTAATTTATACCTACCTAGAAATTAAACAGAATTTTTAATACTAAGGTAAAACCCCCTCTTTCTCTGGTGACCTTTATGATCTCTGTATTTGTTGTCTACATGGGCCTCGGGCCTGTATGTGTAAACATATCAAATGAAGAAAGAGGTGGATCAGTTCCTCCAGTTAACTGTACTGATAGAAAATGCACAGGAGACACGAATGAAACCACATCATTGCTGGGTTGTATTTGTAGTCCATCACACTACTGACTGTGCCACCAACAGATCAAATGAAGAAAGAGGTGGGTCAGTTCCTCCAGTTAACTGTACTGATAGAAAATGCACAGGAGACACGAACGAAACCACATCATTGCTGGGTTGTATTTGTAGTCCATCACACTACTGACTGTGCCACCAACAGATCAAATGAAGAAAGAGGTGGGTCAGTTCCTCCAGTTAACTGTACTGATAGAAAATGCACAGGAGACACGAATGAAACCACATCATTGCTGGGTTGTATTTGTAGTCCATCACACTACTGACTGTGCCACCAACAGATCAAATGAAGAAAGAGGTGGGTCAGTTCCTCCAGTTAACTGTACTGATAGAAAATGCACAGGAGACACGAATGAAACCACATCATTGCTGGGTTGTATTTGTAGTCCATCACACTACTGACTGTGCCACCAACAGATCAAATGAAGAAAGAGGTGGGTCAGTTCCTCCAGTTAACTGTACTGATAGAAAATGCACAGGAGACACGAATGAAACCACATCATTGCTGGGTTGTATTTGTAGTCCATCACACTACTGACTGTGCCACCAACAGATCAAATGAAGAAAGAGGTGGGTCAGTTCCTCCAGTTAACTGTACTGATAGAAAATGCACAGGAGACACGAATGAAACCACATCATTGCTGGGTTGTATTTGTAGTCCATCACACTACTGACTGTGCCACCAACAGATCAAATGAAGAAAGAGGTGGGTCAGTTCCTCCAGTTAACTGTACTGATAGAAAATGCACAGGAGACACGAATGAAACCACATCATTGCTGGGTTGTATTTGTAGTCCATCACACTACTGACTGTGCCACCAACAGATCAAATGAAGAAAGAGGTGGGTCAGTTCCTCCAGTTAACTGTACTGATAGAAAATGCACAGGAGACACGAATGAAACCACATCATTGCTGGGTTGTATTTGTAGTCCATCACACTACTGACTGTGCCACCAACAGATCAAATGAAGAAAGAGGTGGGTCAGTTCCTCCAGTTAACTGTACTGATAGAAAATGCACAGGAGACACGAACGAAACCACATCATTGCTGGGTTGTATTTGTAGTCCATCACACTACTGACTGTGCCACCAACAGATCAAATGAAGAAAGAGGTGGATCAGTTCCTCCAGTTAACTGTACTGATAGAAAATGCACAGGAGACACGAATGAAACCACATCATTGCTGGGTTGTATTTGTAGTCCATCACACTACTGACTGTGCCACCAACAGATCAAATGAAGAAAGAGGTGGGTCAGTTCCTCCAGTTAACTGTACTGATAGAAAATGCACAGGAGACACGAATGAAACCACATCATTGCTGGGTTGCATTTGTAGTCCATCACACTACTGACTGTGCCACCAACAGATCAAATGACCAATCTGTATAAAGCATTTTTTCTCACTTGTTTCAATGACTTTTTAAAGCTATTTCTCAGAAAATTTCTAATGAGATATTTATTTTCACATGTTAAAAAAAATTAGACGGGCATATCAAATAAGAGAAGATATACTTCTCTTCTCTATATACTGATAATTCTAAGCTCATTAAAATCATGTTTAGCACCCTGGTTACTCACAGGTAATACAAATGGTTTCTTGGCATCAGGGGAGGCAAGGGGGTTTGAGAGAGTGGGGGGAGTCAGTCTCGGCTCCTGACTGTTACTGTTGAGTCTCTTCAGCGCCTTCTGTCCGAGTCTCAGCAGCTGACTGTCAGATTCCTCCAGCTCTAGTGACTCCATCTTCTCTAACTTACTCTACAACAAACACAATCACAATTACATTTCAGTACATATTCAGTGACAAGTCATTTTACTGATTGTACACCATAATAAGTACATTGAGACAACCCTTTTTGTTACTCCTGTCTCCTGTTTGAATTGGAAGATGCAAGCAAAGTCTTAGGAGCCTGCACTTGAATGTACTTTCTTTTTCGACTGCACTGCATAACACATATTTATATTTAATCAATCGTCTACCGTCTACTCTTCATAGCTCATAACTTTGGCTATTCAAAGTTACAGTAGTGTGATTTTCAGGTACATTTTGATGATGGTTTAAAAAAAGAAAATGCTAATGGTTCCAACTTACACCTTTAATTGGTTTGATAATGAAAAACTTCATTCATTCAATGTTTTAATCAGGTTTCTATTATTTTCCTGTTGTTACATAGAATACAACTTTTGTCTTATCGACTGTGGAAACAGTTAAGGTTGGTTGATCGAGAATCTACTGCATCCGTTAAAGTTGATCTCTTTATATAACAGTAGAAAAACTTTAAAGAAACCAACACTAACTTTATGTTCTTGTAGAAATAGCTCTCTCTCGTGCCGTGTCTTCCTCCAATTTTCTTCATCTTCGTCTTCTTCTCCCTTTTCTTCATCTGAGTCGAGTTCAGCTTTATTGTCTCCCTCGCCAAAAGCTAAAATCACAGTAAAAAAGGTGCCTGAAAATCTTATATGAAAATAACAATACAGCTTCTAAAATTATTTTACAATCTACAAAAGACAAATAAGGTGTGATCTTCTTTCAGAACCGCTGAAATTGGTTTTTACAGTGTATTTTTTACCACATCCTTTAGTATCTCCATTTAGAAGGATATCTAATCAATATAATCATACTGTGTTAGATATACAACTTCTGAACATTTAATTTAGATTGTCTACATAATAATGTTAAACTAACAAAGTATACTTTACCGAAACTATAAACAAACTGAACTCATTCTGAAAACGAACGCTCACTCCATACCAGTTATCCAAACTGAAAACGAACGCTCACTCCACACCAGTTATCCAAACTGAAAACGAACGCTCTTGTTTGTATAATGTATTTACTACGAACAGCTGTAATTATTACAAATTATTCGTCTTTTTAAGTAAACATAATCTTTTCTTCATAAGAAATACATTAGGATTTTGATGGCCTATGGGGCAAAGCCCGAGGAATTTTATTGCAGAAATTGGTGAAAGGGGGCGTCTACATAAAAAATACTTAATTTTGACACATCGTTTGTAAAAATCCGTTCATTATTAACGGAGGAGTAGTGTTTCGTAGAAATCGCCTTCACGTATTATAAGGATGAGTTTAAACAATACCAATCTGTGTACTGTGTAAGGTTATCACTTGTATGGAGTACCCTGCCATGTCGAGTGCTGTGTGATTTTTCCAATAATCTTAATATGCTTCAAATTATCATATCTTATGTAAAACAAAATGTAATTACAGAGTCAAAAAATATGAGCCTTGTATACAATTTTTAATTAAGTTGATTGCTTGTCTATAGGTGATTTTCACAAGGAATATTTTGTCCTTCACTATTTACCTACACAAATGTCAAAGCTCTCTTTAGCATGAACAAACTTACCTAGGTTGTTGGACCAGCGGAACAGCCGCTCTCTCTTGTTGTCTGAATGAAGCTCTCCGTCTTCAAGCAGCATCTCTTGTAACAGCTTCACCTGCTTCTTATCCTCCTTCATCATCTCCTTCCTACAAACACAAGTTTGTACCTTTAGAATCTTATGTTGACAACTACAATTGTTTATGTAAAGCTGGCTCCATTAGAAATCAGCTAACAATTAACACTCTAAATAATAATCAACTAACAACAATTAAAGAAAAAGAACTAAGGTGAATAAATCCTTAAATTTTAATAAGGAATCTTTGGCCATCTGCCTTCAAACCGAGGATCCAGCACATCAGGAACATTATGGGAATACAAAATTATTACTACTATACTAGATGAAGCCGACATCTACAAAATGGTATAGCATCTTTAGACCTGTTTAGAAGAAAGTTCGATTGAAGTTGTTAAATATTATTATCAGTTTCAACAATTTAAAAATTAATTTTGTAACCTATTTAAGAGTGAAGAAAAATATGGGTTGTCAACGGTTTTTATGATACTGACGTCAGTGAGTATGGACTTTGTGGACAATTTTTGGTCAAGGGGATGGAGTTTCATTCATTACCAGAAGGTGGATCATTCATGTGTTAATTCCTGATTGACTCTGAACATTGTTTGACACGCAAGTTTGGGAGGATAGTTAAGTAAATTAGTTGTATTAGGATAAATCAAAGCTGGCTATGCAAGCTTTCGGCCTGTGTAAAATATCTCCGTCCTCTGGTCCCTAACATGTCTTTCATGTAAATCATTTGGTAGCAGAATCAGCACGCTTAAATTAGTCTCACAGTACTGTATCACATCATCACCGTCATTGTCATTACATAACGCTACATACATAACACCAACATTTCCATCCCACCGTCATCTTGCTAACGCTACAGTACCAACAACAAAAGGAGAAAATTATATTTTGCCACTGACAGAGTGTTGATGTCAAAAACCTACATTCAGAAATCTAGAGCATCTTTTACATCACATCAAGTATAGTACCAACAACTAAAGGAGAAGATTATATTTTGCCACTGACAGAGAGTGTTGATGTCAAAAACCTTTATTCTGAATCCTAGAACATCTTTTACATCACATCAAGTATAGTACCAACAACTAAAGGAGAATATTATATTTTGCCACTGACAAGAGAGTGTTGATGTCAAAAACCTATATTCTGAAACCTAGAACATCTTTTACATCACATCAAGTATAGTACCAACAACTAAAGGAGAAGATTATATTTTGCCACTGACAGAGAGTGTTTATGTCAAAAACCTATATTCTGAAATCTAGAGCATCTTTTACATCACATCAAGTATAGTACCAACAACTAAAGGAGAAGATTTTATTTTGATACCAGCACACTCTGCAACAGCTGGTCTGTATAGATATAGATGATACTCACATGTGTATCTGGTCAAGTTGTTGCTTGAGGCGTCGCTGGTCTATCTTCTCCCTGTCTGCCTCTTCCATCTCCAGAGTGTCCAGTCCTCGCTCATCTTCATCCTCACTACTCCACTCCTCCTCAGACAGCTCTGCCTCCACATCCAGGAACTGTCCCGCTGTCTTCGCAACTTCCACCTCATTCTCCTCTGAATCGTATTCCACTTCACGTTCAACAGGATTCTCCTCGTCACTGTCATTTTCGTTAGTTTCATCTGCTTCTACCTCTGCTTCGTCTCCTTTTTCATCGTCACAGTTGTCTTCTTCGTCTGTGAAGTTGATTAGTGAAGTGATTAAAATTTTTTAAATTGAAGGAAAATTACACAAAAAGGGGGAAACATTTAATTATTTTAATATTTATACATTGTACATGTTTTGTATTGGTGCAGTTTACCAAAAGCTTATTTAATTTTTTTTTATAACTGTATTGAGTAAAAATGTTTAAAAAAATTATGAAGAAGTCAAAACTATTTCACAACGGCTATAACCAGGGGCGGATTAAAGGGGGGGGGGGCTGCCCCCCCCTTGGCAAAATGAATTGTGAATATTTATATACAGTAATCTTCCACAAAATAAAATGATGGGGTAAACATTTTTCTCATTTTGATTTCATAAATACAATCAGACATGATTTTACAATTTGTTTCTGTGTTTCCCCCCAAGATATAGCCTTAAATCCGCCCCTGGCTATAACGAAAAACATCTTTTACATTAACTGAAGTGTTTTCAAACAATATTGTAACTAATTATTTGAAATACATCAAGCTATTGTGGTAGTACATGATTAAATGCCATTAAAGGCTATACTATCCTCCAAGGTGGTTACTAAGTTCCCTGGATTTGTTTAAAAACTTGCTTAAATTATATATCTAATGCCCCTATTAACAAACATCTCCAATATTATTATTAGTGATGGACGGGATTGAATTTTTAGTTCGGGACGGGGACGGGACGGGATTTTTATTTCTTCCAAATTTTCGGGACGGGATTTTTTCCTGTGCATAAAAAGAAAGTATTGAGTATTGCAGTTACCAAAGAAGACAAACAAAATCAATTTTTACCATTTGTGGCACTGATTTATAAATAAAAAAAATGAGTAAAAATTTACAGGTATAGAAACTTGTGACTCGCGGTCAAAATGACTCGCAGTCACGGTGCGATCGTCAAAATGACTCGTGGTCACGGCGTGATCATCGGTATGACTCGCAGTCTTGGCGGGATTGTCCGTATAACTCCGCGATCACGGCACGATCGTGGGTATGACTCTGCAGTCACTGCGTGATCATCGGTATAAATCTGCGGTTACTTCCCGATCGTCGGTATGACTCCTGATCACAAGGTCGTTGGTATGACTCACGGTCACGGCGTGATCGTCGGTACGACTCACGGTCACGGGGTGATTGTGGTATGACTCGCGGTCACGGCGTGATCGTCGGTGTGACTCGCGGTCACGGCGCGATCGTCGGGATGGCTCGCGGTTTCGGCGGGATCGTCGGTATAACTACATGGTAACTTCGCGATCGTCGGTATGACTCCACGGTAACTTTGCGATCGTCGGTATGACTCCACAGTAACTTCGCGATCTCGGTATGACTTGGCAGTCAAGGCGTGATCGTCGGTATTACTAGCGGTTTCCTGCGATCGATGGTATGACTCCGCAGTTACGGCGCGATCGTCGAAATGACCTCGCCTCCTGCGTTCACGGAACTATCGTGAACATCTCTCGCGATAGCGGCGTCATCGGCACTCGCTAATCGGTCAAATCGCCGTCGATCGGATCAAATCCCGTCCCGAAAAATTCCCGAATCAAATGTTATCCCGTCCCAAAAATCAGGAATATTTTTTTCCTGAAATTTCGGGACCCGTCCATCCCTAATTATTATGGTACTTACAATATTAACTTTTAATGCTTACCTGAAAAATTCAGTTTTTTGACCTTTTTTGTAGTAGTTTTGGTTTTAAATTCTTCTTCGTCTTCTCCCTGAACACTGTCTAAGTCATCATCGCAGTATGATTTTCTGTAAATTATAATACCATTTGATTATCATTTATTGATTGTTTAGATACAAATAAACGATATCAGCAATCTGAAATACTTTCCCCCATTAGCTTGTCAAAAACCTTTATCATGGGTGGTGGGAGTAACTATGATATTTTATAGGGAAAATCACAAAAGTTGCAAAATTTTTTGATTTTGAACCATATTTGTTACAGCAATGTTGGGTTGCACAATTTTGTTTAGGAAATGGGATCTGTACAATTTTTTTTAGAATTTAAAAGACCATAGTATACTAATTTTAATCAAAACCGGTTTTTTTCTATAACCGATTTTTTGTTATTTTGTGGTTTTTTAATGGAAAATTACATAATTTTCAATAACTTTTGAACCATAATTTTTACAGGAATGGGATTTTTACAAAATTTAAATTAAATTTTACAAAATACTAAATTTTTATAAAAACCGTTAGGGCCATTTAGAGAAAATCTGATTTTTCTGTTATTTTATGGGTTTTTATGGGAAAATCACCATTAAAAACTAAAATGTCTAAAAAGTTAAAAAAAAACGCCTAGAGAAACCATAGATTACACAAAATACACAATACACAAATAGATACACAAAATTTCATCAAAATCGGAGAACAGGTGTGGTCTGTAGCTCTGTACACATCCACACACACACACACACACAGACATCACTTCGAAAACCACTTTTTTGGGTTCAGGGGGACCCAAAACGGATATATCCACTTAAAACTCAAATTCAAAAATTTTGACAAAAACAATATTTTCTCTTTAAACTATAGGGGGAGAAAGTAAAAAGGAAAGTAATTTTAAATTTCTTCACAAACCCAACCTTAACGATAGGTTTAAGAGATATGACACATTGTGTCTAGGTAGGGTTTTAATAATAAACAAATTAACACCAAGCAAATTTAAATCAATTTAATGCCCTTTCAATATCAGTTCAGCTTTACCTCAAATTACATGTGCCATAGTGCACAAAAGAAAGAGTAAAGTCATTGAACTCAATTCTTTGAGACAGCAACACACACTTTGGTACTTAGGTCTAGTCATTTAGTATTAAGCACATTGCATGTAATTTTGAGCATAGGAGTGAAAAAATGAAGAATAAGAAACCCACAAATGTTTAATTTAAAATACATGAACTGCTCCGATGCAAATATGCTCCAATGGTATTGAAGCATGTAAATATAATAAAATATTAAGCTGAATTTGGATGAGGGGAAAGTGTATGAGAGTAAATGGAGTAGCTTTGTTACTGATTGAGATAAGAGGAAGGAAACTACACTCACCCTGTACTTGCTGTTAGTTTCACAGGAGTCACTTGATCTCTAGACAGCTGAGAGTCCTCAGTGAGGAAAAGATCAAAGTCCTAAAACATATTCAAGTATTGTCTATTGTGTTTATGTTTTCTACTTATTCATTTGTACACGGCAATAACCATTTTACATTAAAAGTTTCTTCATTTTTGATACAAACATAAATATGCCCATGCAAAATGAAAGATATCTACAAAAGGCAAAGCCCTCACTGACTGACTCACTCACCACTAATTCTCCTACTTCCCATTTACCTAGGAGACTCAAATTTGGTACACTGATTCTTTAAGCATTGAATATGAAAACTAAGTAGTTTGCATTCTGATCTGACTTTCGTGGCTCTGGAGTTCCCCATGTTAACCTTATTCATATTTAAAAGGAATTCATGAATCTTAAGAGCTGTTTTAATTAAACAAGTTGGTTCTAAGATGTTCAATAGCATTATAAAGTACAAGGGTTCAGCACTAATAATAATGTCTGGGAGACGGAGTAGCGTGTTAATAATTTTAGTGCATTACTGATCAAGTCAATGATATGGAAGGAAGGAACTAATAGACAATAGACAATATTTTTTATTAGTATTACATATTCATTGAAAATAGTACAGCGTAATATTTACAGGTGGATTACAGAAACATTTCATTTTAAGGTCTTGAGATGAATTCTTTTTCGGTGTAGAAGGGTCTTTCTAGCAGCCAGTCTGTGAGTTTTTTCTTGAAAGTGGATGAATTATTCTGCTGTTTAGTTGTTCTGGAAGGAGGTTAAAGTATTTAGCTCCTTAGTAGGATGGGTTTCTTTCAGTGAGTGATAGGTTGTGGATTGGAAGGGTGAAATCTTATGCATGTCTGGTATTGTAATGGTGTAGGTTCCTATGTCTGGATTGGTGGGTGGCTATTGCATGTAGGATGATTTGACTCCTGGATGTGGAATGACACTACAGTGAATATCTTTTGTTCTTTGAGCGGTCCACAGCAGCTGTCTTGTTCTCCAATGCCAACCAAACACCTGATTGCCCTCTTTTGTTGGATGAGAACGTGTTCTAGGTTGAATGCAGTGGATCGACCCAGACCTCTTGCCATATCTCAGATGAGATTCACAAAGAGCGTAATATGCTACCTTCGCTGCATCTGTTCCACTTATTTGTTTTATCCTTCTGATGACGCAAGTGGCTGAAGAAAGCTTTTGCATAGTAGGTCTCTGTGAGGTTTCCATGTTAGTTTGGAGTCAATGGTCATGCCAAGGTACTTTGTATGTCATTTTTTCGAATGTAAAAACAACATTCGCAAAAAAAAACAACATGTATGTAGCATGTAAAGCTAGGCCTAGGCATGCGTGTTACGTGTTTTTAAATGTTTTTAATGTATGTAAATTATTTGTGAACTTTGACGACCTTCGGAAGAAGTGATAATGTCCTTGGAAAACCTGAAGATGGCTCTGTTATGAGCCGAAACTAGTTGTTTCACAACCACTTGGGATTGTCGACATTACAGGTATTTAAACCACTTTAATTGTACTTTGTATCTTTTTTCTTTTCCAGGCCAGGTAGGGTGATTTCTGTGGGGGCACTTCTGTTACTAAAAATAATTTGTACGGTTTTATTTTTGTTAAGAACAAGGTCATTTTCTTCGCAGCAGTGTTAGGCCTTGTTGAAATGTGCTAGTGTGTCTCTATCTAATATTCGCATTGACTTATTTGCAAGAGTGAGGACTGTGTCGTCTACGTACATGACAGTGTGACAGGCCTTGCAAATCTTCTGGCAGGTCGTTTGTCAGGAGTAGGAACAGTACTGGTCTCAGTACTGACCCCTGTGGGACACCTATATGTATGTCGGTGGTTTCTGAGTGGGCTTTGCGTTTTGTGTTGTTTTCAACGTAGTTTATTCCAACCTGCTGCTTTCTGTCTTTCAGGTAGCTTCTGAACCATCCTGCTACCTTTCCCCTAACCTAGAACTAGAAGCCATGGGTTCTAGTTCTCTCAGAAGCTGTTCATGGATTAGACAGTCAAAAGCTTTACTGAAATTGAGAAAGAGGGTGGTAGCTATTGAGCCATCTTCAAGCTGGTCCAGTATATACTCTGTGAACTGTATTAGGGCTGTGGTTGTTGAGCAGCCTTATTGCCTTTGTATTAGGCTTTGCCAATGCATAGTTCCATCTCAAGAGCTTTAATATACATGCTTTTAAATCTTGCACATTCTTAACCCAAATTTATTTTGCTTTGAAGTGTTTTGTTTTTGTTATTCTCATCGGGCAAGTTTGATCTAATATAAATTGGATATATTTTTTTATTGTTATATGCTTCAGAGACATCTACAGTTGTCAGAACTGCAAGCCAATTCTGTAATTGCAGTTTATCTCTGAAGAGGTCCATGGTCCTGTTGTTGATTATTCTTTTTATTTTTTTGTGATTTTCCAAATGTAGCTTTGTTAGGGTCAGGGTGGCTATTTGGGCGGAGTGGTCAGATAGACCTGCTAGGATTACTGATGTTTCAATGAGTTTAGTATCAATGTAGGAGCAAATTCAGTCTATTGGTTTCAGTTTCGCTTGTGATTCTGGTTGGGGGTAGCAGAAGCCTTTGGATGTTGTAAGACTCAATGTAGTCTTCTAGTTTTGTGTTGTCATTGTTTTCAATTAGATTATCAACATTTATGTATAGATATGAATGTTTTGAGTATGTCAATAACGTGAAAACTTGTTGACCAATTGAGCTGATTTTCCCATGAATAGAGCAAATATAATTAGGCTTCTTAATGAACATAGTCATCTTTTATTTTAATACCCTCCTAGGGCTCTGCCCTGACAGCTTGAAAAGTTTCTATGTTATTCTCATGATTACACTTAATATTAGAATTGCCAAATTGATGTAAACCCTGTGTTTGAAAATGATTTTGTTGCCTGTTGGTGCATTATCAAAATTGTGGACATTTATTTATGAATTAATAACTTTTCATATAATAGATCTATAGAACATAATTATTATTCTCTTTAGCGTTTGCTTCCCGATGCGAAGCACAGGTATGGCGGCTAATCCAATTTTCTAAAAAATACTTATGAAGTCAAACGGGACGAAGCCCGTGGGTTGCTAGTCATAGATAAAACATATTACCTTAGTAGATTTCTCATTTTTATGGATCAGCTGAAGCCAATTTTATTGTCAGTTTTGTACGGTGCACTGTAGAGGTTGTGTTTTGTTTACACGTCGGTTGTGTGTCGAGTCTCAACTCAAAGCAGCTTTCCACAATGTGAGTGAAATCACACGGTGGTGCACTGCAATCCCGTGGACATTCACATCAAGGTAGTTAATACCATCTAGAACACCAAGCAGCCGAAGAAAGCGCCTCTGGACCATGTTCAGGGAGTTACAGTGGCCAACCTGATGAGGAGACCACACAGGAGAAGCATACTCCAAAATGGGACGGACAAGAGAGTTGTACAAGACCTCCAATGATGCTGTAGATAGAGAATTTTTAGAAAACCTTGCAATAAACCCAAGAACAGAATTATCTTTTGAACAAATTTTAGCAATATGAAGTCCAGGGTCCAAGCATGGTGTGAGATGAACTCCAAGATCCTTAACCGATAGGGTTCTGCCAGGGACGCGCCGTGAAGACAGTAGTTAAAGGACAGCAGCGATTTGGTTCTTCCCAAACATCTCTTAAGTAAGTGATTTTAAAGAACTATTACCGAGAGTTGTAGCATAACGTTATCTAATATTAAACCCCTTATTTTATTCAAAACAGGAAACGTGTGTTAGCTCATTCCACATTACCTGGTTTTCTTCACTTTCCTGTAGAGGCTGGGAGGTGAACTGCCCAGAACACATATTCTCCAGGTCCTGGGAACAAACCTGCGGCGATTTTTCTACAAGGTTAGGGATGCCTCGGACTGTATAAAAAAAGTCAAAACTCATCAAAGAAAACCCTTGAACTAGTTATATACGACCAAGAGCCAGTAACCAAAAAGTTATTATGTATGTGTACTTTTATAAGTTAGTTAATACCATGATGCCAAGTACCAAGTTTAGCCTATAATCCAAAATTCTTAAGTAGCTGGTCCTAAATGAAATTTCAGTCCTGAACTACAAAAAAAAGAAGTAAGGTAAAGAGGAAACACGCTTTTAGCTCTTGTATGTTGTGCCGGAAATATATACTTGCAATGAGCAGAAGCCGAACGGTGAGCACTATTCAGAAGAAATTTCATAGGGCACAGGGTCTTCATCCACCGTAAGCTATGTAGAGTTATGCATGAGTTATGTACATGAGATACCAGCAATAGTACTAGACACCACTTAAGTGTGCCATGGACTATGGAGTAAATATCCTCTTCTCCTTACTTCTCTATAACTACAACCAATGAAGGCAAGGAAACCTGGCAGCTGTTTTATTTATGTAGTCTGTGACATGTATTTTTAATAAGAATTCTATTAATACATAACCTAGATCTCTTTTCAACCTTTTTTTCACATATTCACTAACGCCAGACTTTGGTTCAGCCATCTCTAGGCTGAGGACAGTTAGAACCATTGGCGGATCTGACTTGTCCCAACTTCAGGGGTAAGGGATATTCATTGTATCCATATTAAAACGTATACAAATGGTGTCTGCTTTTGCTTGTTGGATCACAGTCTGTATTTTAAAAACCTATTACAATCCACTGATCCTGATTATTTTAAAACTATTTTTTTTATATAAGATACAGTTTATTTAACTTTTTACAACACAAATATCTGAGCAGACATTTCTCGTCATTCTTCAGTACATTAATTGGTCTGGCAAGTTTTCAATTCAACTTTAAAACCTAAGATATTGATAAACTTGACTCGAGTTTGTAAGCTAAGGAACATACGCATAGGCCTACCTGGTGTATCAACTTGGGGACTGAGGAAATCCTTGCATGGGGTTGATGGAGCACTCCAGTTGTATTTGGTGCAATCCTGAAAACCCAAGATAACAGACATCAACAGAAGCATCAATTAGTAAATTTGTGAATTATTAAAATTTAATATTCTTCAAGATTTTATAATGTAACTACTCCTTAGAGAGACACAAGTTTCCAACCATCAAAGAAGATTATCTAGCAGTAGGAGCTACGTCAATTGCAGAGTATTCTTGCCATGATTATTTTCTACAAGCCTTTCTTCTTAATTTCAACTCTTGCACCTCCTCTGGTATACATCTCCAGTTTACTGCATTCCTTTATTGAGAGGAACTTCTAACATCGACCTTGAGAGAATGCTCATATACTACAATCAGACGTCTAGCAGGCCTCAACTACCAAAGTTATTGCAAAAAAGCCTAAAAATAACTCCAATTACTCAATTCAATCATCTGCAAGACGGATTCAATCATTTGCAATATTAGTCATGCATTATGATTATATTGATTATGTGTCATTCAATACAGAGATTCATTAAATTAAGGTATTGGCATATCAATACCTAGGATTTGAACCTAGTTTCAGTCTCTTTTGTGAGGTTTTACCCCATAGCTTTATTTACCATATTTTCCAAAGCTGTTAGCTGAAATCCAGGAGAAGTAAAAGGTGTTTCAGGAAGTTTTTCTTCAACATCTTCTTGTTCATCTAGGGGACGTGGTTTTTGAAAAGATGGCAATTCCTCTTCATCAGCTAAAAAAATAAAATTTGGTCATCATAAGTTTTTATAACCTTATGAAATTGTAATAGTTTGAAATATAGATAAAAATATAACAGCTCTATTTTCTAACAGTTCAATTATCAATTTTCCTTAAAAAAAAAAAAAACTAGTGTGCCTGTTGCTTGAAATTGAGCAATTAATTGTCAACTACTGGTATTATACAGGAGTTGTTTTAAAACTAATTACACTCATAATTTTCTGTCAGTTTAAAGACTCAACTAAAAAAAAGCTTATGTAATTAGTGGAAATACTCACAATGTTAATAACAGTTTTATATAATAATAAACACTTCTTGTAAATATTTGATCATTTTTCAGAATTTTGACTGGCCTTATTTTTTTAGCGTTTTCTTCAAATAATGCTTTTTTTTTGTCCTAGGACGCTAGGCACGAGCCCGGAATTTTTTTCACATTACTTCAGGCTAGACCTAGAGGTAACCCATAGAGAATACCAGTAAACATTTATTATTTATTGCATGTATTCATTTGATCTGACATTAGGTGCGTTTACATTACCACCGTGACAACACAGTGTGTATATTTCGTCCAAAGTAAGTTGCCAAAGTAAGTTGGATATCAGATTTGGCAAACATTTTTCATCTATCCTAGTGAGTGTGTATCTGGATTCCTTAGTTAGACCAGGCTTCTCTTCTTCTACTCTTCTCAAACGCATAAGATCTCTTATTAATTGTCTCCTCCTGCTGTTTTCAATATTTCTTCTTTTAACCCGAGGATTTTTTTCTCTATAGACTTTTGTGAAAAGAGTAGACTATGAAAATTAAAATGTTAACACTTTTTCAGTAATTTGATTTTGACAAATTTTTGCTTTCAATTTCGAATTGCTTCACATGTGTAGGCCAATACATGTTTAAAAAAACAATGAGATAATAGCTATTTACATTACAAGTGTAGTAAGAGCGTTTTTACATCACGCAGGTGAATGTTGTGCAACGAGCGGAAGCGAGTTGCATAATTCACCGAAGTGATGTAAACACGCTCTTGCGTAACGTGTAACGTACAAGATTTTACCTGACCCGACAATATTCAGGAGGTTATGAGCAATATGCTTCATTATCAATTTCACTCATCTTCTAACAGTAACGTTCATTTACAAACAAAAGCTAGGTTAGGAAAATTCTTCAAAGCATAACAATAAAATTTAAACACACAGCTGATTTCTAGCGTTGAACGTCGTTGACTCCATAGAGGTATATTTTTTAAGTTATCCACTCAATGTTATTTAAATGGGTTTCATTACATCACCGAGTGAGTTTTTTTCAACTTTACATCACTCGAGAAGTAAGGAAGTTGTATACATCACGCTTGGGATAGGGAACTTTAACATGGCGGGTTAGGTAAATATACATAATTTTAAGATCACCATTTGCTACATAATTCGCTTTGATATACATTGTTTTAATCATGATTATATGTTACTACAACACTTTCTGAGGAGTAGAAACCATATATTTTCTTATGTCATTGACTTTGGATATTGCAAGTAGATTCACATCCTATTAAAAGCTTAATTTGACGTAAGTTTCTTGTATGGTTACGTAAAGGGGCACTGGTGTAAGCAAAATGTTTACGCCTAGAGTATTTTCAATCTACTCATTTTGCAATTGACATTAACTATTTTTCCGTTAAATTTAGTGTTTAGAAAACACCTGCTTAAATAAAACAATTACATTAAGAGAAATTTTTTACCACATTTTTTATAATTGAATACCCTATAATTGACTATAACTTTGAACAAGGATGGTACACGTGAAGCTATTTTTTAGTTTCTTAAGCAATGTTTGTAACTGTTTATACGTTTCAGAAATCGAATAATCAGTGGTAAGTTGGCAAATGTATATGCCATGAATAACAGAACAGGTAAAGTGAGTAGTGACACTCGATGATAGTGTTGCCGTATTACTATAAACCAGCTGTTTCTAAGTTTCTTTATGTTATTATTTGTTGTTATTTTATTCACGTTTGTGAATTTTTGAATTAAGTTTGTGTTTTTTTTTACGAAAGTTTGTAAAAGCTTAGTGTTATTTTCATTTTTTTTTCTTATTTCCTAAATGTGAATTTTTTAATAAGTGTAGGTAAAGATGTCTGACCAAAATTGAAGCATTTTTGTAAATATATATATATATCTTTTATGTGACTTCAATATCAATAAAATGCTTTATTTGCTTTGCACAGTACCATATTCCATGCTGTATTCGTACTTTTTTAGCCTATTCACTTTATAAGTCATAAGTATTTTATTGCATAAAACATTTTTCATTACAAAAGCAATGGTGAACAGATGCATGGTCAATCAATAAGTTATAAAAACTAAAACTAAAAAGTTACAACAAAATACAACAAGAACAGTACAATTGAGAGAGAGTTACCAATTCAAAAAAGTTAGAAGAAAGACAAATTTAAATAAATATCTTGAAGCAATATCAGAGAAAAAAACAATTAAAATCATTCTGTGTCATATTTCACATAAACTAATGGTCAATTAATGTCACGGTCATTTAGGAAATCTGCCAGGAAGTAATATGGTTTCTCCACCAATAATGCTTTAGTCAACATTTTAAATTTTTGTGGTGTATAGGATTTTATTTTTGAGGAGATCTTATTATATAGACAAATCCCATATAGATGGGGGTTTTTTTTCAAAATGAGAGTTTTTATGAATTGGATAATTTAGCAGATTTGGGTTTCGGGTATTATAACTATGAGTGGGTCTAAATTCATCAAAAAGTGTATTATTTAAATTAAAAAAAATTTACTGTTTCATAGATGAACAAAGAAGTCAATGGCATTATTTTAATGATAAGTTAGGGATACAAATTTATTGTAGCCTATATTTTAAATAACTCGATTACTATTGAATTAAAATTGAAACCGTTCGAATACGTTTACGGTATTTTGGGACGTGTATCAGTGCTACTTACATCGTTCTATGTAGCTTGATATTTTCGTATCACTTATCTGAATTAAAAGACAGAGAATGTCATTAAACTATGTAGTATAGTTGAATTATATTTCCAAAATGGTGGATATGTAACTATTTCATAATAGATTTAAAGATCATTCCAAAGGCACGGGAACAGGTAATAGTTTGATTAAAGATTCTGTTGAAAAAATTTGCTATAATAATTTTCTAAATTCAGTACCGGTAACGTAAAAAACAGCAGAAAGTTTACAGTTTATACAACTACTCTTGCAACAAAGATTTTAACCAGCATTTCAATATTGGTGGTAAGTAAGTACCAAATATTAAAATTAATATGCATAGCAAACATTATCATTTGTACCATCACAATTTATATTGGTGGATTGTAGGATGGTGGACTCAGTGGACTCAGAACTCCACGACAGATTTGGTGGTATTGGTCTTGACCAGTTTTGGGGGAGAATTTGCGTCATAAGCCTTGGGGGGGGGGGGGGATGGGCACCCCTGGACCTATAGTAATAGCTTATTTTCTATACTGTATTAGAAATTCGCTAATATTCTCTACATGGGAAATAGGCTAATATGCCTTATGTGGAAAATTCGCTAAAACCTTACATCTCTACTCACTTGAATATTTTAATAGTTCTTGAGATGAAAACATATCAGATGTTTTGGTTCGTGGTAGAGACAACTTCTTTTGAGGAGGTCTTTTGATGAAAAAATCACTGATGACATTGGGTCCTAGAAATAAAAAAAAATTAAGTCAGCTTTTTTATTTCTAAAAAGCAGAATTTACAAACAAATATCTGCAATCACTGTTTTCATCGATCTTCTTTTTCTTATAGATGGATATTTGTTAAAGACACAATGGATTACCCGAATAAAAGTTAAGCTATAAACAAATTGAAGCCTTTCTTTTTAACTATTTGAAACTTTTAGTCTTTGTTTAGTTTATTTTAGATTATATAAAAACTAAAATTAGTTTACCTTTACTGTCAGTTTTCTTTTCAAAGCTTCTGTCTTTTACATCTTCTGCTTTCTCTGGCGAATCTTTCTTATCTCTGCTATCCATATCCGTTGAAGAGCCATCAGATTCATCTCCGTTATCACTGTTATCATCATTCTGATCATGATTCCTCTTACTACTTTTTCCTCTGTAAATCTCCTCTTCAGATTCATCTGCTTCATCATCAAGGAAAACACTTCTCGGTTTCCTTCTTTTCTCAGCTAGTTCATCATCCATTTCATTATCTTCGTTTTCACTGACATCTTCCTCCTCTTCTACTTCTTCTTCTGTTTCATCATTATCTTCATCATTCCCATTGTTTTCAATTTCATCTTCAATTCCATCACACACCTCCTTTTCACCTGAAAGACACTCTTTAAATGGTTTGACAATATTTGAAATACAACAAGCAGTTATTTAATTCCATAAGATATATAGTAGGGTATGGCATTACAAACACTTCATCCCCTCTTCACAAGGTACATTTTGGAAATTCTGAGACAGTATTTTTTTATCATTTCAGTTTCCAGACTAGCAAAATCAATTTATAATACTACAATAGAGTCCCAGTGTTCAAAACTAATCAGGCCTTGTTTGAATTAGTGGCAATGGCAATTCAGAACAAGCTGATTATATTTGGATGAAAATGACTTTGCCTATTGAGTTGTTTTGATACCATGATATATTAGTGAAGCCTTTGATAGTGTCTGTCATTCAACATTAATTTCAATTAAAAAAAATGTTGGTTTTGCTAACAATGTTTTCAATTGGTTTCAATCTTACCTTGAAAACAGATTACAATATGTGGAAATAAATCATATAAATAATTTCAACCAATTAAGAAATGTAAAATCGTCTTTGAGGTGTATAAAATATGGTATACTTCAAGGTTCGATTCTTGGTCCCATTTTATTACTTTGTTATATTATTAAAAGTCTGCCAACAGCATTAACAGATAATATGGCAAAATTGTGTCTATATGCTAAAATACAAGAGTCAGCCCAAAACAATCTGTTATCTATAAAAAACTACTTAAACTTCAATAAACTATTTCTCAATTTTAATAAAACCAATATTATGTCATTCAGTACAGCACAAAAGAAAAATCCAAAATTTTGTGTTAAAGTAAATTATCTCGAAATTAGTCAGGTAAAGGTAACAAAATTATTGGGTTTATTGCTTGATGAAAATTTATCATGGTCACTCCACACGGATAAACTGTTACATAAAATTTCCTCAGGTTTATTTGCCTTGAGAAATCTGTCAAAATTTTGATCGCTTGAGATATTGCTTAAGGTTTACCATGCACATATCAACTCACACATTACATTTGGTATTGAGTGATATGGAGCTACAAGTAATCAAAATTTACAAAGTGTTCTAATCCTTCAAAAAAAGGGCAATAAGAATCATGATAAATCTGGATGATGAAGAATCGGCCAAAAACTATTTTCCTAAATTAAAAATTCTAACTGTTTACAGCTCATATATATTGCACACTATTATGCATGTGAGGGCTTCTGAAGACAAGGTGCCACTGCTGGGGGATAATCATAGATATAATACTAGGCATACAAATTATCCATCCGTAACACAACACAAACTGGAGTTTTATAACAAGATACCAACAGCTGCAGGTATTAAGTTTTTGTATCATCTACCAAAAGAAATATTTGATATAAAAAACATTAGGTCTTTTTAAAAAAAACTTAAATTGTTACTAATTGATAAGAGCATTTTACTCATTTGAAGAGTTTTACGACATGTAATTACATTAATTAAAGTTTCCTGTTTTATTTAGTTTAACCAAGTATTTTTAATTAGTAACAAGCTGTTTTGACGCCATTCTGTATTTATGCATATATTTCATGTATATAATGTATAAATCTTGAATAAAGCTTTTCTGATTCTGACACCAACAACCTGCAAACATATGGTAGTCAAATCTTTACATTGTTGCACACCATGTGAGCAGATTTACTGAAAGTTGCCATGTCCTGCAAAGACTGGCACAAGCGCTATGGAGCCTCATTATCCATCTCATGTGACTGTGACCATAGACTAAACAACCTCTCACGTGTCTAACGTGTCTCACGTGTCAACTAGACCTCTCATCCGATTGTAAATTTTGTAGCTTGTTTTACGTGTCTAGTTCGAGTACGTCGACACTGATCGCTGTAGTGTAGACAAAACTTTGTTTTTATTATTTTAGGGTTATTTTCATGATTGTGCTTAACTATTTGGTCATATAACTAGGAAACCAGTTATTGTTTATGATTAGATCATTTTATTTGGTTAAACGAGGTTTTAAATTACTGAAACAACAGGAAACAGATTGTAAACAAAACACAACCTCTACAGTGCGACGTACAGAACTAACAATAAAATTGGCTTCAGCTGTTCCATAAGGATGAAAAATCTACTAAGGGAGTATGTTTTATCTATGCTGTGACACACTGCTATAGCCTAGTCTGTAAATAGATCAATGTTTAGTGTGTTTGATATGTGTGATTTTATCATTATCTTTTTTATAACAATGAGGTGTTTGTTTAATTCACACACTGTTTTTGAACTTATGGTTAATACAAAGCTTTTGAAGTGCATGGATATTGATATTGAACTATAAACTTAATCAAACTGTTTGAGTTAAGACCTTCATAAAACTCCTCGTCCTCATACAGCTTCACTTCCTGCTGTCTCTTTGCCCATTGTTGGTCTCGTTGGCGCTCTATCTGTTGCTGCAGTGTAGCTCGTAGTCGTGCCATCTTGGCACCAGGCCGTGCCAGACTAGGGTCCTCATCTTCCTCGTCCTCCCCCACCAACACTTGCACTGCCTCCTCAGTGATCCCACTCACATTCCCCTCTCCATCTCGCTCAGCACTCACGATACTGGACAAGACAACAGGTGACATCAATTTAGTGCAAGAATACTCAGTCAATAAGGATAAACTGCATAATATGGCTGAATCTGGAATTCCAAAAAAGTTACGTCGGTCATTTAAGGTCGCAATCAAGTATGACCATTATTTCAACCAATCAGTTGTCACATGAGTACTACACATCTTTGAATTTGAAATATTCTGGTATGAATAGTAATGTGAGACAATGCTTGGATGTTATATTATCTGGTTGCAATTTCGTTATTATGTATAAGAAACCTAATTAATACCTGTATATATTTAACCTGCAAATCAACCTGGTTAAAAAATATATATTTCAGATTTAATTCATCAAGTGATATATTACAAAAATAGCTTGAGAAGCCAGGTTGCAGCAATATGGTTTAAGAACCTTTTTAACAATTTTCAAGGTACATGATTTTTGATCATGTCAACTAAAACGTATGGTTGTTTGTTTGACAATTCCTTAATTAGCTTTATCCATCTATACATTATTAATTTGGAAGGGGTTATTTTGTGAACAGTCAACTACCGAAACGTTATGCAATATTTACAGAAGGTAGCCTAAATATTTTTATAAAAGATCTTGAATTAACAGAGTGTGGACTTCCAGAAGAGACTTAAATATTAATAAGTCAAATCTAATAAATTAATCTAATATTATTGCGAGAGTTATTTATTTTGAATCCACTCAGTTTAGAAATAGCTCACATGTAGTACTTAGCAATTGCTTGATTTCGAGCAACGGGTAAACTAGTATATTTTAAAACATCTCTGCCAGTATATAGTATATTTTATAGTAGTATATTTTAAAGATCTGTTACCTTAACTCAACAGGTGTTTTTTTCTTTTGTTTCTTTTTATATGACAAATGAGTAATGAATCTCTTCATGAGCTGGTTGACCTCTGGTTTAGAAATACCTTCTTCCAGATCAATTACTCCATCATTTGAACTTATTATTTTTGGTGCATTGACGCTTGTTTTCTTTAACTCGACATTATACTTTTTGAACAGCTCACGTTTTACTTCATCTTCTTGTAATAGCTGCTGAGTTGTTTCAAGTCCTTCATTGTGTGTCTCTGTCCGATTTTGTTTACAACTATCCTCATTATCCTGGTCTTCTGAGTCCATGAAGTCACTTTCAGTATTAGAGCCTTTAGGTTTGTAACTATCATCTGCTGATTTATCATTATTAGTTGTTGTGTTATTGACATCTGGGCAAGTTTTAAATGAAGACTTTTCAATTAATATATTTTCTGATTGTGACTCACTTAGTCTCAAGCTGAACTCTTCAGTGTTCACTAATGTACCTGATGTACTTCTACTATTTTCTTCTTTATTTGTGTCACATAGAAGAGAATCATCCATTTCATCTTTCGATTCGTCTGTAGGCAGTTCTGAATTGTTCTTAACCTTGAGGTTATAAATACTGCTTTCATATGTTTCACTTTTTTCTTCTATATCTATTTTGGTTGGTTCACAAGATAGTAAATTATTAGAGCCACAATCTGGTTTATTTTCTGTGTTGTCAAATTCATTATTTGTTCTGGACTCTGTGATTTCAGAGTCTATTTTGACAACTTGAGATTCGTTATCCAATTGCATTTCTTTATTTTTACTTTCTTGGTTACTTTCACTCATAACAATCTTTGGTATCGACTTAGCTTCAGTTTCACCAAAACTTTCCTGTGAATACTGGGCTGATCCTTCGTTTTTATTGTGAGACTGCTTTTCAGAATCCACAGTTTGTAACACATCTTGGTTTTGCAAGCTAACAACTGAGTTGGTATCTTCAGAATTTACAAAAATGTCTTCACTTTCATTAAGCATTTTTTCCTTTCCAGGATTAACCACTCCTGAACAATCTTTATCTGAACTTTTCTCTTTTAGTTTACTGCCAAGATCAACTTCTAATGCATCAGTATCCTTTTCTTCTTTCTTGGTCTTGTATTCATCTTCTGAAGAATCAGACTTGTAAAAAAGTTCTGCTTCTTTTTCACGCTGCTCAAGTTCCCTCCTAAAGAAATAGATACAATTTCAAATAATGCTAAACTAATGATTGGCAAAACGTTTTGTAACAGAATCTAGTTGACTATTTTTAAATACATGTTTATCTTATGTTTCCAATTCACAAAAGCTTTAATACATTTTTGAATATTAAAAACTATTTAATAATTGGGTGCTGACTAGGCAATTAATATGTGTATGCATGCATAGAGCATTACTAAAAAGCAAAACTTAAAAATTGTTCAAACAAAAACTAAGCTGTTCATTTAATTTTTGTAATAGCATAGCTTTTCCCATTTATGTAAATAAGTAGTCATGTTTCTGAATTTTAAATGGAAAACACATAGTACTGAGTAACTTAGAGGTCCTCTGAGTTAGGGGTTTACTGACTTAATTGTTTTTCCAAAATAAATACTGTAGGGCAATGAGCTGCATTGTAATCTTTCAATAATTGTAATTCTTTGACTTAGAAAGAAGTGCCAGTTCATGTAGTTTTTTATTCAATACTATAGTTCTGAACATTGGACTTTCAGTGATGTAGCATAATATTAACTCCAATCACGTGATAAGAAATAACCATTCTCAGTTTGATTTTTGTATGGAATGCCAATTAATTTTAAAAATCCCATGCCAATTTTACATAGGCATTCAATAAATTTAAACTTTTGGTTTGGTACATAAAGCTTGATAAACTTACAACGCTGTATAGGATTGATCTGATGAAGTTTTGAGAGGAACTTTAGGAGTAGACTTCCTTCGCACTAAAAACTCTGCAAGGGTTCTTTGCTTGGGTCTATGATAAGGTATTAATATTGGGGCTTCTCTCAATAGTCTCTGTGATTCCTTATGAATTTCTGTTTTGATATCTTCTTGTGCTTTTGTTTTAGACTTTCGCTCCTAAAACAAAAATAAAGATACTGATTATAACATTAAGACAGGATTTTTCTTTGGTGATGAAATATACCCCCGCCGCAGCAAACCTGCAGACTAAACAAATTTCCATTTGTCTGATTGGATTATCAATTAAATCTATTTAAATAACATTACATTTACCAAGTACAAAAATTATAAAATTACATTTTATTTTAGTTTTACCTGATCTATAACTTGACACAATTACGTCTACATCTAAACATCGTAATGAAGAAGACTGAAACTACTATTGTTTATGTTTTGCAGGCGTCTTGCACAGTCCAGTTTGCCGTCCGTATTCGGCCAGCCTAGTAACGTGTAATTTTAATTTTTAAGGTTATTGCGGTACATTTAAAGTTAAAATAACACTTAATGAAATGAGATTAAATGAAAAATGTCTTTATTTGAGAGGCGAAGTTAGGACTTGCAAGTCCTCTATACCACTTAACCTCTAAAAGATAAATAAAATTATCCTTTTATATAAATGGTTATTCCAAGAACTGTATTCTTTTCAAGAAATCGCAAATTAATTGCTATTTTTACGTTTCTTTGAATAGAAGCATACTATAATAAAGTAATCATTTTTTTCGTAATGAAAATTAAAATATATATATTTAGGCCAAAACGACCTCGGATAACCTGAGGGATCGGATAATCAAGATAGTTGGTTTTAGCTTACTAAATGATCTGACGGCAATGTAATAACCAATCCTGCAGTACGATAGTAATACTGTGAATACGTCATATCTATTACTAGTCATTACAGGTAATTAATGGACACAGTTGATACTTGGGAAGCCCCCCCCCCCCCAAACCAAAAAGTCTGGGTGTGCCCCTGAATCCAAACAGAATTCCAACGTAGTTTGCATAAGACAAGTACAAATCAATACAAGTGTTAAATATTAAGTGAACACTACAAGTTAGTACAACAATTTACCCCTCTCTTTGTTGGCTTCTTTGGCTGCTTATTTTTGGAAGAGTTTGTATAAGTAGTGTTTCCATCTGAGAGACGATTCTCTTCATCTTCAAATGTTGTAATTTTCTATAAACATATAAAATATATATCCTAGATTAGATTTTTGATATTTGTTAGGAAAAATTGTTATGAAATAAATCATTTTCAATTTGTTTGGAGTGCTTATAAATATACCCACAGCAGAAAATCTGCAGACTAAGCGAATGTACATTTGTCTAATTGGATTTTTATTAAATTATTTCCTCAAACATGTCAGATTTATTCCCTATTTAAATAACATTAGATTTAAAAACTACTGTACGGTACTTAGCTTTGATACTACAGAGAAGTGTTTTAGGTAAAATGTTGATAAAACAGTAGTCTGTGAAATAATTAAATTTCCCAAGTCGATCAAATGTAAACAAGGAAACTACCACAGTTTACTTCTCCATATTTATTTTTATTTATTGATTTATTTTTTTTAAGAGGTTGGCGGCCTCTTTTAACCTTGCATTTGTCCGTCCACATAGACTACTGATCTGTGTGTGGAACATATCCAAGCAAGGGGAGAGCCGGTACAGTACGAAGGTGAACTGTACTGATAAAATGTTTGGGGCAGTGACCAGGATCCGAACCCACGACATGGGAACCCCCGCTGCCTTGGGCCCGAAGTCCGTGACACTACCAACTGAGCCACCGACTCACCACTGTTATTTTTATACCATAGAAATAACATAAAAATTTGAAAGTTATTTTATTTTTTTTTTTGTAAACTTTAATTTTTCAACAACTATACAATATAAAAAATTATTTGTAGTTTTGTTTTCTCTACTTGATGATTTTAATGTAAATTGTGGATTTAATGTTTTAACCTAGGATAAAGCTTGAACAATTTCAAAACCCCATAACATCCAGCTTAAATGTCCCTATCTTGCCGGTTCGTGAACTCATTCAAGTGTATCCAGTCCTACCTATTCATGACAAATTTTATCAAGACTGGACCAAAAATTACTCGAGTTATTGGTAAAAAATATTTAAAAAGCTCGGCTTGGCTCGGCTCGAGGTTGAAAATCACTATTCGCACACCCCTATGTAAAACCATTAACAAAGTGAAAGTAAAAGTGAAGTGAAAAGACAAGAAGAAACCCACTGAAGCAATAATTTTATAAGTGCAAGAACTGCTTCAATGTAAATGGTGCAAACTGTATTAAAGGATAAAATAAAATAAAATACAAAGCTAATGAAGTGGATGTAATGTATTCCCTGGGACCCTGGACTGATGTGTTTGACAATGGCATGCCATCGAAACATGTAACACTTTGATTGTTACCACTGGAACTGCATTGCCTGTATTGTAAAAGCCCATATAGACCATTGTCTTGGCTACTATGCTATATACTTTTTAACATTTAAAAAATTGATAACTGTTAGGTAACATATCTCTAAAGCTAAAAAATCACAATATAATCTAAGATCTAAGTTATTAGCCAAAATATAAACTTGAGAATTTAGTACCTCTTCTTTTCTTTTGTCTTCTTCATCTGAACTTCCTTCAGCATCATATAAATCAGTATTGTTGTACCACAAGTTCTGAAATAATCAGTCAGTATGAATGGTTTATCAATGTCATAATTATCAAACAAACTAAAAACAATCTTAATTGAAAAAAAAAACTTATACTCTCTTCAGGACTTCTTTACTTGTATGTGAGTTTGCATTGGGAGCAGTGTAGGTTTGTTTGGGGTTGGTGATCCTACAAACTATGTTGATGGTATAGTATATGAGGTATATATGTAGGTGATGTTATATTATGTACATTTGACACCATTTCTTGTATTTATGTACAAAGACAAATAAAGATGATTGATTGATTGATTGATTAGTATATATTTTTTATTGAACCAGCTAACAAAAAGTTAAGAAACTGATTTTACAGATCAATATTAGACTTAAGCTCATCGGAAACAACTAAAAATAACTTGGCCATTGACCAAATTAGCATCTACCTATGCGCCACAGCCAACCGTAGAGCTAGTGAAATATCACTATGTCGACCTAGTGACACAGTGAATCTCAGTGCTAACTGTTAGGCATCCCTAGAACTAATGGGCTGGTGAGGGATTACCCCTGCAACTACCCCAGCGCAACTTGACATCCATTCATACACTGCATGTCTTCAACCCAAATAATGAGAGGGACTTCAAAAATCTGTTCTAGATAGACATTTAAACTAACGTATATCAGTAATTTTTGGGTTGCGATTTTGAAGGATTCCATTATTTTAGAATATCTACAAGATGTTAAGTAGTGGATGTGAGATAAGTTTTTAATCGGAAATGACTCGGGATCCTGCCATAGAAAAACTTGTTTCAAATTAGTTGTCAAGACAACTATCACGGTTGTGATACAGTATGGGGGATAAGGCTGAGGAAATATTTGTTTAATTTAATCTTAGCCCAGATGAGTTGCAAAATTATGATGTGATTATGCGGAAATTCTAAAACCATTTTGTTCCCAAAACAAACCTAATTTATCAGTGTGCTAAATTTCTTAAACGAAAACAGGGATCCTCAGAGTCTGCTGAAAACTTCATCACGGACTTACATACTCTTGCAAAACCATGCAACTGGGGAGATTTAACACGTTGACTGCGGCCTACTGCTATAGCAGTAGCGTTGCACTGGCACTGCTCGCGGCCTACTGCTATAACAGTAGTGTAATCGCCCGCCAAATATTGCGTCTGTCTAAACCCAACACTCGGCCAACGACAATGTGATTGTTTCCAGGCTGTAGCTTAGAATACGAGCTTTATTTTAGTGTAGGTTGGTACTAAACATTCCCGTAAAATTCCGTCTGGCAACGCTTTTGTCCCATTTTCAGAGAATTTCCCTATTCGAGCCATATTACAAAGACTCTGGTTATCGATCCAGGCAGTGCTGCTACCTATGGGTGTTTCAGTGAACTACGTCCACTTTTGGGGTAACGCAGAACAATCACCACTGCTCTTTTGTGATTCGTCTTACTGAGATATTTCAATGCCAATAGCGATCGCTGATTCAGTAGCACGCTGGGGCTCCGCCCGCAGTTTAGGGAGCGCCATAGTGAAGGTTTTCAGCAATCAACGTGTTAAGAGATGAAATGATTATCGGAATGAATGATCAAAACCTTAGTGATCGCTTACAGTTAGAAGAGGAATTACGGAGAAAAGTACATAGAGATATTATGACTCCACGCATGGTGCGAAGTCTCTAGGAAGTTTGAAATCTGGAGGTAGCGTTTCGGTATCTGACTTGGGAAAACCTGGAACAGTTGCAAAAACAGCAACTGAACCACGACCATATATTGTCAGGACTGATACAAGAGACCTAAGAAGAAACGATTTCCATCTTCTGCCATTTCCCGATGACTTAAATAGTAGGCCTACACCCACGCCAGACAATGTAACAGAACAAAATTTAACAAATGTCTGTACCAGAAGTCCAAAACCACGAGAGGACATCTCAAGGTACAAGACTAGACATGGGCGTAAAGTACATTCTCCAAGGAGACTCAATCTCTAAGGAGGGGGATGTTTCATAAAGACTGCAAATAAAATATGTGTTAATTCTTACAAAAAGATATGTTTAAGTTAAGTCTCATTTAATTTAGTTCATTCCTGCACACATTACTTTTAACCTAAATCAGGCTACATGTCCTCAAGTATCTATGAACAATATTTACCTCCCTCAAGTAACAGAAATAAAATACTTAGGCATGCACTTACGATGGAAAGCTTAATTGGAAGGCACATATCTGGACTAAAAGACAACATCTAAATTTAAAAACAATTAAACTTAATTGTCTTCTTGGATCTAAATCAAAACTTAGTACACAAAATAAATTGTTACTGTACAAAACAGTTCTAAAAGCAACTTGGACTTATGGTATTCAGCTTTGGGGATCAGCAAGTACCTCAAACATTGAAATTATTCAACGTTACCAATAAAATTACTACGTTAAATTGTCAACACACCTTGGTTTGTTACCAACAGAACACTTCATAATGATCTTAAAATTCGAACAGTCAAAGAAGAAATTACAAAATCTAGTGAAAAATACATTATTATATTGGAAAATCATTCAAATCATCGTGCACTTAATTTATTGGACAATCACAACACCATTTACAGACTGAAGCGACAGACGCTTTGGACCTCCCATTCAGATTCGGCTAAGTGTTATCAAAATTCTCTTTGTTAGCTAGTGTTGACAGGGGTCAATACTAGCTCATGTTCTTCAAGTTAACTTTTGATGTTGTATTGTTATTTCATTTGCTTATTGTTCAACTTTTAAACAGATTGTACATAAATAAAGAAAAAAAAACTGATTAAATTATTGTCACGACAACTATTACGGTCGTGATTAAATAAATATCAGAGAGAGAAGGAGCTGAAAGTCAGCCTCGTAGCGCAGGACATCCCTGAGGAAGAAAAACATTCTCTCGGTCTTCAACTCCAATCCCTGTGATCCACACTCAATGAACGAGGTGCCCAGAAAGCCAGTGTGATTAATGTCAATGAAAAAATGGTTTTATCTGATAAATTGAAAGCTATTAATTCCAATGTCAACAGCCTCTCTAAAGTCCCTGTTAAATTTAAGTATCATGAAATACGTAGAGGAAGACATTATAAATTCATATTTTATTTGTCACAATATCAGAGTGTGCAGATAGACACACACTTTTCTTTGGGCCTGCTACCACTCATTGTATAAAGCCTGCCGTTTATCAGAAACGATAACTGTAGTATTGTCCAAAACACCCTTTTACTCATGTAAATATGATTTTTTTCTTGTCCTACTATAATTGAGCAGAGCGATGCAAAGCTCTTATACTACACTCCTGCTTTTGTTTTACAAATACTCCTCCTGAACGGCTGAAGCAATCTGCATGACATTTAACACAGTCAAGGTAACCAACCATGGGAAGGTATAAATCTGAAATGGTACAAATCATACCACAGGGCTTTTCCCTACGTGAATTTAAACTTTTATAAATTTGACATGGGCCTTATGGATTAACCAGATGCCATGACATTATTTGCGAGATAACAATAAAAAGGTAAGCAAGAGTCGCAACATATGTTAGTCTTGTTCAAAGGTTTATTGCGGACATTTTCCATCACGAATGTAAAAAACAATACACAACGTTTCGGGATCTGGAATCTGATCCCGTCTTCAGGTCTTCTCCACCAATGAGACACCATCATTGTCAGTGAGTCAGTGCGTACGGTGCTATTAGTGTTTCAGTGTGTGAGTTTTTTACGTTAAACCTTTTATAGATTATAGTGTTTTGTGATTTGTTATTAATTGCATGTTGTATCATGACTTGACTGCTATACAGTGCATATTTTTTGACTACTACCCTCTGTAGTGTATTCCAACTTAGGTTGGGCGTTTGTGTATTGTTAGTTGTAATGTGTTAGTTAAGTTTTTTTCACCTGAAGTCGGGTTCAGATTCCAGATCCCGAAACGTTGTGTATTGTTTTTTACATTCGTGATGGAAAATGTCCGCAATAAACCTTTGAACAACATTAACTCACCATCACCAACAATGAACTTCAAACAAAGAATATGTTAGTCAACGAATCATCTAAAATAGCACATTACAAATACCGTACCTACAGAGAAAAAGGGAAGAACAATTGGATTAATATCATTGAGCATAATACCCAACAAAATAAATAACCAATAATTAGAGTAGCCGGAAGTAGGCTGATGCACCATTCACTTTAAATACTCCAAATAGCCAGTCCATTTATGTGAACCAAATAGGACTACCATTGAGTTTGGATACTGCAAGTAGACTTTCCATTTATGTGAACTAGACGTAGCATTAATGCAAACTATGAATAGGTACTGCAAAATGGAATTCCATTAATGTGAACCAAAGATACCATTGAGATTGGATACTGCAAATAGGCACTCCATTTATGTAAATCAAATTAACTATTGACTTAGGATACTGCAAGTAAACAATTAATTTGCATTAACCCGTATAATTGACTTTGATTACTGCAAATAGACATTCCATATATGTGATCAAAATATACCATTGACTTTGGATACCGTAATGCAAATAGGCATTCCATTTATGTGAACCAAAGATACCATTGACTCTAGATACTGCAAGTAGACATTCCATTTACGTAAACCAGGCGCACCATTGACTTTGGATACTGCAAATGGGCTCTCATGTGAACCAATTAGACCATTGACATTGGAGAACTGGATGATCCATTGACCTTGGATACTGAAAGTAGACATCCCATTGTTGTGAACCAAATATACAATTGACATTGTAGGGCCTAGATTTTTTATTTATGTGAACCAGATGTCCCATTGATTTTAGAGACTGCAAGTAGAGATCTCATTTAGGATCTAAACAGATGAAGCATTGACTTTGGATACTGTAAGGAGACATCCCATTTACGTTAACCAGATGTAGCATTGACTTTACAAAAGTATTGGATTAATGTGCTAGCTCCGCTCAATATTGCAAGCAGACAACTGCATTGTAGGTACACTTAGTATTATATGTGAGAAGGTTTGGATGTTAATACTGTCCAATGAAATGGTGACCATACATAGAGTGAAGTGATTGATTACATTATCATTGAGTTGACTCTTTTTAAGTCATCTTTACTACTTTAATACTTTCTTATTAAATGGCGACCATACAAGGTAGGTATTTTAAGCCAAGTATGAATGGAGATGAGTGTAGGATGAGTGGCGCGATCTTGTAGTCTTGTTAGTGACTAAGGCCGACATTCCTTAGACACAGCTGCTAATTAATAGCCCATACAGCTAATGGCAACTAAGGGACCTACAGTTTATAGTGGAATCCGAACCACATTTTCCTTGGTATATACGAATTGGTCTAATTATCAGGATAGTACTGCGGATAGTCGTAGTACTCACTCGTGCGGACGTTAATCCACACCAGGGAGTATCGCATCCACAGTGCATGCCTATAAATATCCACAATTCGTGAACTCCTAGTAGCTGGATTACAGGACGACGCCATCCATCCCAGATGGATGGGTGGATGGATGTATGTTTGTGACAAGTAAGTTAAACGCAAAAAATACTGGTCGGATTGGGCTGAAATTTAATGTTATGATAGCTCACATTCCCTATTAACACATTCTATAGACGCATCTATTCTATAGACGCATTCTTATTTCAAAAATCCTTTCGGGCTCCGTCCCAGTGGCTCTGGAGTTTCCCAAGTTAACCTTATGAGTATTCATATTTAAAACGAAAAAAAGAATTTTGTCAGCTTTTTCAACTACACAATTTAGTTCTATGATATTAAAAAGCATTAAAAAGTTATAAGGTTTACCAATAGGGTGCAGCACTATTAATTTTTTTTACATCTAATTTGAACCAACTAGCAACAAAAATCTGTGAAAAGTGAGGATTTCACTTTTTTATTGTTTAGGTGCAGTGGTAGAACATTATGGCTATGGTAGATGTGCTATACTATACTATAGCATACCGTATAAATGAGTTAAGTCTCTTGAGTCTGGATTCTAAGATAAAATTACAGTGAGGACAGTGGATCGTTCAAAGTTCTAAAATAATAGCAGCCTTGACGCCAGGGAAAAACTGTTAAACATTATACTGGCTCAGTCCTCAATCTTTACATATCGTCTGATCAAGATGGTTTCCAATATTGAGATTGATGATGGTGATACAGTGAAAATACATTGTAATAGTGCAAAAATAGTACCAACACTGCTTTGTTATGAACATTACATAATGGTACTGTACTTCAATGGGTAACATTTTAAAATAAGGATAACAAAATGTATGCCGAACCAAATACATAGTGATGGGTTAGGCCTACAGCATAGCTCACCTTACTGCCAGTTTTGCTTTCCAACCTTGAAGATTCCTCATTTTTTTGTGATTTTAAATGTATTAATGCATTCTCTGATTCCTTAGCTTCTTCCTCTGATGAAACACTTTTATCTTCTAAAAGTTCATTTTTCTCATCGAATGAGGAATCATTTTTGTTTTTTTTTAGGCCTTTCTTGGTTTTTGACCGCTTAGGCTTTTGTGTGATAAAATTATTAGAACTGTTGCTATCCTGCTCACTCTCAGAGCTGCTGTCAAACGTTTTTATTCTACGTGGTTTCTTTATGATCTTGTTTTCTTTGTCACTTAAACCTTCTAGTTCATTTTCTATCTTGTCATTATGATCACTGTCACTAGTCCTATCTTGGATTTTGACATCATTCTTTTCAACTAACTCGCTCTCGTCACTTGAATCATTAAACACAGCTTTCTTCTTTCTCACTAAAATCACTTCTTCTTCTTCAGAACTCATTTTGTTTCTGTAAACAATCATAAAAACATGAATAGGCTATAATAAATGTTGTTTAAAAGTGTATAACAAACATTTTTCATCACAATGGTAAAATACGTTAGATAGACAACCCATGTTTCGGGATCTGAAATCTGATCCCAATCTCAGGTGAAAAAACTTAACTAATACATTACACCTAACAATACACAAAACCCAAACTAAGTTGCGTCTCGGCACCGCTGCCGACCTACAACAATTATCCGCTAACCACTGCCAAATTCGCAGTCAAATACGTTGAATCAATTGGAAGATGTGCAATTTTATACAACAATGCATATTATTAAGAACGAAAATATTTTATCACAATCCCTAATACTTCTTAACATGATAAATGCTAAGTTTATTGGTTTTTGATCTGTCTGAAACAATTATCATCTATGGTTTTTAAAAGACTTCATGCTAGTGATGGCAATTTTACCTTATTACTTAGAATTTTTCAGATGTTTACCATTAATTTGATTTTACTAATTGGTTATGGCGAGTGTCTGCAAACATTCTACTATAATATTAATTAAGGTATAGTAAGATATTTTATATTTACCTGTAACTGCTGTCATGATATATTCTTGACAAAGAATTGAGATTTACTTACATATTTACAATTGAACAGGGTAATTTTGTTTTATCTTTTCATTGTCAAACTGTGCCTTGCCGTTAAAAATCATATGTTTCACTCTAATTGCCCCAAAATCCTGCAATAATAACGGTACCTATACACTAGGCTTTCTTGGCTTTCTTGGATAGTCTACATTTGTTTCCTACAGATCAAAAACAAATTAACTTAACATTTATCATATTAAGAAGTATTAGTGATTGTGATCAAATATTTTTGTTCTAAATAAAATGCATTGTTGTATAAAAATTAAAATCCATTTTTAGCCCCTGAGCTGTGATATTAATTAAAAATAGGTATTTACCTTCGTCTACAGCTCAATCTGTTGTAACTTGAGTTACGGCCGTTTCGGCATTATAATGCCATCGTCAGACGTTGAACATTCAGCTGAAGTAGCGTCGTCATAGTTGAAACACGAAACACGAACACGAATAACATTTTACTTTTACAATTAATAACGAAAACACAACGAACAGGCCTGTCGCACACACGGTACCGGTTGACATTGCCACGATCTGAACTGGATGCCGACTGGAAGTTAATCCTGCATCGTTCTTTGCGTAGTGGTGTTATCAGCTGACCTTTGTACTCCTGCCTTTTGTCTCTTGTCCTGGTCTAAAATACTATTGAAAATGATGTGTGATTTATATTGTAGTTTGTCATTTAATATTGTGTCATCAAAATTATTTTCTGTATAGGCTCTGTAAATTTCGTATTCTTCTAATGTGTCCAATTTATTTCCTTTCTTGCTTGTGTGGAGTATATCGAGGCCAGTGTTCAGATCATACATGTCATGGTTTTTATCAACCAGGTGTTGCGCAAAGGATGATTTTTGTTTGTCGGCTCTTGGACATGGGAGATGTTCTTTGTACCTGGTTCCGAATGTCCGTCCAGTTTTTCCTATGTAAAAGCTCGGGCAATTGGCACATTTAATTTTGTATACACCTGACTTCTCACTTTTGTCGATTACACGATCAGAAACGTTTAATTTATTAATTGTCTTGTTGTTGGTCTTGAACGCCAATTCGATACCATGCTTTTTCAATTCTTTCGTAAGTGAGTACTGAATTGAATGTGAGTACTCTACACACACATACTTCTTCTTTTGTGGTTGGACGTCTCCAGACTTTTTGTTTTTCATCTTACTTAATAACCTGTCAATCATATTGCTGTTGTACCCATTAGATAGCGCTATGTGTTTGATCAAATTGAGCTCTTTATTAAAATTGTTGTCTGACATTGGAACATTTAACAATCTATATAACATACTATTATAAGCGGCATATTTCTGTGATGGTGGATGGTATGACGTGTTATGGATGGTTTGGTTAGACGTGGTTGACTTACGATAAATGCTGAAATCCAATCTATTGTCCAATTTTTCTATTGTCAGGTCTAGAAAATTCATTTTGTTTGACTCCTCGATTTCCTGACAGTAGAAAAACTGTCAGGAAATCGAGGAGTCAAACAAAATGAATTTTCTAGACCTGACAATAGAAAAATTGGACAATAGATTGGATTTCAGCATTTATCGTAAGTCAACCACGTCTAACCAAACCATCCATAACACGTCATACCATCCACCATCACAGAAATATGCCGCTTATAATAGTATGTTATATAGATTGTTAAATGTTCCAATGTCAGACAACAATTTTAATAAAGAGCTCAATTTGATCAAACACATAGCGCTATCTAATGGGTACAACAGCAATATGATTGACAGGTTACTGTCAACTCTCTGGTGCATGAGATTGCCAGAGCTCACTCTGGTGCTCACTCTGGTGCATTCAAACTCTTATTATTGGCATGATTGTTGACTTAACATCACATAAGTCATATGTAGGTATATTATTTGAAATTTAAAGCATTACATTTTACTAAATGGGTAGTACATACCTATTTTGAAATTTAAAGCATTACATTTTACTAAATGGGTAGTTATACATATTTTAAGTATAAACAGCGTAAAATCAAAAATAGAATGAACGTGACACATTCTAAATTACAAGAATCATATTTAAGCTATCATTATTAGATATTTAAACAATGAAATACTAATAAATGTGCTATTTTCTTGAAGTAAACTTTTTTTAGAGTAGTTTAAGCTTCATACGACTATTATAAGTCAAATAAATTTGAAGTTATAGCATTTTCCGTAAAACTTTGCAAGTTTGATTTGTTTCGCCACCATTTTCCAAGATGGCAGATTTTGCTGAAGTGGGATTTTTTGGGAATTCTCAGGAAATGTTAAGGAGTGTGTCCAAAACACATTCCAGAAGAGTTTACCCTTAACCTAATTTGTTCTAGGTGAGCGTTTCATTTTGCATAACTGTCCTGTACTACATACCAAAGGAAAAAGGATTGTTTTGGACAGTTTTTTTTTCCTAGGGCGCTAGGCATCATGAAATAAATTAGGACATCAGAGACAAACCAGAAATAAAACAAATAAATTAATTTTACTTTTGAAAAACATATTTAACAAGCAAACTAGCCCAACAATTTTCTTAGTCTCCATAAGACTTTTCTTATGCATACATTTTAAATTTTCAGTTACAAAAAAAAACATATTATGAAATTCTCTTCAATTAACTATTAAGCCCAAGTTTAAACAGCAACAAAAAAATATTTAGCCTAACCCATAAAACCCCCACTATTGGACCGGTCATGCTGGTTAGCAAACTCGTTCGAATAAATCAAGGTTTACGGTAAATGTTTGTACAAAATTGGTTTACTGGAGTTATCGTATTAAGGTAATAGACACAGCCCATTTGAAATGAACGGATGATGATGTTTCTGGACTCTGGGGTCATCAATATAAAAAAAGGAAATCAGTCCTGGGTCTAGGTCCTAGGCCTATAAAACCTACAGTAAGCCTGACACGTTCGCTGCAGTTGCGTGAAGGCAGGCCGCGGCAACAGCTAATGCGCTGTGTGGATGAGTGTGTGAAAATGTTTAAATTTAGTTTCATCCAATAGAAGAGGCATATTATGGTATGTACTGAGTACCAGTCATTGTGAACTTGTTTTAAGTTACAAGAACACAACAATAAGTTAGCAGCACTAACCAAAGTGATAATCTTACCCAGAGTTGCCACCATTGGTTAGGGACGGGTCCCCTCTCCCAACAGATTAACATGGACATAAACAATAATGACATATGGTATTCTGGTTTGGGAAAACTCATGCCACTCCAACAAAATATTCAAACTTCAACAAAAAGCAATTAGAATTATTGGGCGAGTTCCTTGTAGAACTCCTTGTAAAAGTCTTTTTCAAACATTTTCAGTTTTAACATTTTATGATCAGTATATTTTAGAAATTTCAAATTGGGTTAAAGACAATTTGTCCTCATTCATGACCCAACCCATTCATTCCCATCACACTAGATTTAAGAGTTATATTAAGCCTGAAACTCATAGATTAGAGAAATTTCATTTATCTCCCCAATATATAGGCCCACAAGTTTACAATAAGTTACCACTCCGCATAAAAATATTGATTGTAATACACAGTTCAGATCCACCCTGAAGACCTGGTTAACAACAAAAAATATTTTTTCTATCGAATGTTATTTAAATGGGGACATTAAGTTAGATTAATAATTTAGTAAGACATTTTTGTTATTTCTTAGTTTTAGTATTATCCTGTATATGAATTTATGTCCTGTCAAATAATGTAATAAATAAATAACACAGGCACAAGGGACCGAAATCGGGGTGGCAACCCTGGTGCTCAGTACAGGCCCTCAGTATTGCCAAATTGAGGGAAAAAGCAGGGGTGAAGTATCCAGATACACCATCAAAAAATACCACAAAAAGGTGTCAAGCACAATTTTGAGGATAAGTTCCTTAGGCCTACCGCACACGAGACTTTTTGTCAGCCAGCCGACTTTTTTGACTTAGTCAGGAATCAAAGTCGGTCCCATAGTGGTAAATCTGAGCGCGCACACAGACCAATCGCAGCCAGAAAGTCGAGGCATTTTGGGGCTGCCCGATTTCCCTGCCGACAGTTCCCCGACTCAACTGTTGTGTCGTATTGATAAAGGTACAGGGACAAGTTTGAACGAGCACACTGACGACTAAAAAGTCTGCCAGTCTGACAGAGTTTTGTTGTGTGTGTGATAAGCAGACAGTCAAGAGCGTTATGGCTGCGACAAGTGGAAGTGTTTTGCGAGACGAAAAAGTTGATAAACTTATTGATGAAGTGGAGGCACGGCCCTTTCTTCATAAAAAGTCTTTGAAGGAATATTTAGACATAATATTAAATCTAACTGTCAATATTCATTCGTGAGTAGAGTAACTCGGGGCAAGAGTGCGCACAGGGCAAGAGTATGCAAAGCAGAAATTTTTACTTTGGGCTTGAGCTAGTTGGTACCACTAAGTCTCATCCGGTGAAAGACAGAACCCTTGTCATTCCTCCGTAGTTTGATGGTTTCTCTCCGTTCATTCATCTCACAATGAGTTAATAGCTATTTACATTACAAGTGTAGTAAGAGCGTTTTTACATCACACAGGTGAATGTTGTGCAACGAGCGGAAGCGAGTTGCATTATTCACCTAAGAGATGTAAACACGCTCTTGCGCAACGTGTAACGTACAAGATTTTACCTGACCCGACAATATACATGGGTTTACGTACAATATTTTTCATTATCCATTTCACTCATCGTTTTTTCAGTAACGTTCTTTTACAAACAAAAGCTAGGTTAGGAAAATACTTTAAAGCATAACAATAACATTCAAGCGCACAGCTGATTTCTAGCGTTGAACGTCGATGCCTCCATAGAGGTATATTTTTTTTAAATTAAGCACTCATTGTTATTTAAATGGGTTTCATTACGTCACCCAGTGAATTTTTTTTTCAACTTTACATCACTCGAGAAGTAAGGAAGTTGTATACATCACGCTTGGGATAGGGAAGTTTAACATGGCGGGTTAGGTAAAATAATTTTACTGTTATTTTGATCTAATATTTAAGAATTTGGGAATTAGTATACGTTATTCCAATAATTAATTCAATTGTTTCATTGTTGATGTTAGCCTCCGGATTACGTTGAATATAAAAATTGGTGTAAATACCTGCTTCTTGTAATCCAAATTGTTGCTGTTATGACGCAACTAGTTTCGACTTATCACGAAGTCATCTTCGGGCGTCCAGGGGATGTCAATTCACTTCATCAGAAGGTCGTCAATACACACATACGTTCATACACGAACATGGTCACGGTTACGAACAAAAACACAGACACGAACATTGAAACGAAAAAAGTACAATTTAACGAGTAAATTACCATTTTTAGCTTTTACTCGTTAAATCGTACTTTTTTCGTTTCAATGTTCGTGTCTGTGTTTTTGTTCGTAACCGTGACCATGTTCGTGTATGAACGTATGTGTGTATTGACGACCTTCTGATGAAGTGAATTGACATCCCCTGGACGCCCGAAGATGACTTCGTGATAAGTCGAAACTAGTTGCGTCATAACAGCAACAATTTGGATTA